CGCGGGCGGCCCCCCGCGCGCCTTCCCTGCGGTCGCCGCGGACTCCGCGCGGCTGCGGCGCGGCCTGCGGCGAACCGAGCGACACAGATCCCTGCACGCCGCCCCTTCCCCACCTGCGCGGCCTAGGGTGGGGACCCGGCGCCTGCGGGGGGGCGGGGGAGGGGGGCTCCATGCCTGGTGGCGGGCCCTCAGCCACCCGTCACGGGGCAGGGGTTGAGGGTCGCTGAGGCAGGAACCTAGGGCGGGAAGATGCCAAGGGACTTGCCCAAGGTCGCCCGGCCCATTCCTGATGGAATCTAGACTGGAGCCTGGGGCCTGCTGAGTAACTGGGAAACAGGAGAACCCCCAGATCCAAGCGTTATGTTTAGGGCTCTGCCCAGCCTCTTCCAGAAGGATCACCGGGATCACCCTGGGATGGGTTAAGGCAGCCCACAAGTCCAGCTGCCAGGTAGGGGCAAGGTCCTATGGATTGGTAAAGGTTCACTGAGCACTTCTGCCCTGAGGAGCACTTCTCACTAGGATGGGCGATATTCACACACAACACACCGCGCGGTAGTGAAGTCTGGTGGTTAGACAGATGCCTGGGTCCCCAAAGGGGCACTGCCTGTGTTCAAGCCCCGCCGACTGGCTACGTGACCCTGGGCAGGTGTAAGGGACTGAAAGTTTGTATGCTCCCCTACCCCAATTCATGGGTTGATGCCATGGCCTTTCACGTGACTGTATTTGGAGACTGGGCCTGCGAGATGATAAAGGTTAAATGAGGTCCTAAGGGTGGAGCCCTAATCTAATAGGGCTGGTACCCTTATAAGAAAGAAGAGGGAGAGACACCAGAGTGTGCTCTCTCTCTCTCTCTCTCTCTCTCTCTCTCTCTCTCTCTCTCCACCAGGTGACGACAGCGAGAAGGCACCAGTGTGCAAACCAGGAAGAGAATTCTCCCTAGGAACCTGATCGGCTTGCACCTTGATTCTGGACCTCTCAGCCTCCGAACCCGAGAAATAAATGTCTGGTGCTTTAGGCCACCCCGTCTATGGCATTGTGTTACGGCAGCCTGAATAGACTGAGACAGCAGGTTATCCAACTCCCCTGTGTGCCCATTTGTTCCCCTGGAAAATGTGGCCCGTGTTAGATTCCGTCCCAGACGTTGCTGTATGAAATGGACAAAGATGAGTTTGGAGGGGGCCAGGCGCAGTCCCTGCGTATCTGCTCATGAAGAAAGCTGATGGGGAAGGGGGGTATTGACTGACCTCATTAAGGGGTGGCTTTGAATTCCCTCTATTGGGTTGGGTTGTTGTTGTTGTTGTTGTTTAAGTCAATCATTTGCAGAGTCTGGCCCTCTATTAGAAACAGACCGCTTGGGACCGTTTTGCATTTCTCCTGCTCCGGCCCTTCCGTCCTCCGCCAGCCCCACCTGTATGCCACCTCCCCCCTGCCATGGGGCCTGTGAACTTGGGTCCTCCGCTTGCCGGACACCTGGAAACCTCCTACCCATCCCTCAGCCCTCACTGTCGCCCCCTCACCGACTTAATACCCTCTCCAGCTTCATGTTCTTTTCCTTAGGGCACTTGTCACCCTTAGAACAGTCTTTTGCCAGCAGCATTATTTAATTAATACCTCCTTCCCACTAACAGATGGTAAGTTCCACACGGGCAGGCACTTTTGCTCTCCAGTGAATTGCCAGCACTCGTCACCGTGTCTGGCACCAGGGAAGAGCTAGGGAAAGACCAGCAACGTGCTAAGGCATAAACTTTAAGGAGGCACCCACCCTCAGGATCATGCACTTGCAGGAACGGCACCTGAAAATGAGCGTGTCCTCGAATCTGGCGCCCTGGGTGCCTGGCTTGCCTTATCCTGGCCTCAGCCTTGCCCAACACACAGCGTGTTCTCAGTATTTGCCAAAGGAATTGACGACCGGCGACCCATGTCGCGATTCACCAGCCCCCTCTCATATGTCCTGCTGGCCCCCTAGAGAATCTCAACTCTGAAAGAGATCTGAGCAGCGAAGGCAGGGCGGGTGGGTTATTGTCTTGAATCCTCGTCTCTTTGGGGTGCTCCCTCAGTGATCTCTGCTAGGCAAGGTGGGTGGTCCGATGGGTGAGGCTGGCGTTGAGAGGCAGTGAGGTAGGTACAGTGGAGAGTAGGAATGGAATTGGACTCCTGAGTCCTGGACCCGAACCTGATAGGAAGTCGTAGGTGTTTATGCGGTGAGCATGGGAACATCACTTAAACGCACCAGGCCTTGGCGTCTTCCTTGGTAAAATGGAAATCATCATAATTGCCAGGTTATCCCCATAAGGAATGAGTGAGAGAAAGGCTGGGGCAAGGCCTTGGGAGGGGCCAAGTGCTACGGGTTTGTAAAGGGTATTAGTATTGAACTGGCCACCCAGAGGCAAAGGGTGAGCAGGAAGAAGAGAGAGGGGGGATGGGGGGGAGACAGGCCAGAAAGGGGGTGGGGAGGGAGGGAAAAGGAAATAGTAAGAGAATCAAGGATGGAGGGGAAGAGGGAGAGAAGAGAGGAAAGCGGGGAGGGAGAGACATGCAGACATTTTTCTGCATCTTGAATGGAAAACTATCCCCTCCGAGGAAAACATTCATTTGTCTCTCCAAGTAGAGAGGTCTTCTAGCCATTTCCTGGGATGTCTTACTTTTCATTTACATCCCACCTTCATCGGGGAAAAGAATCGTGATGATTTATAACACAAACACATACTCAAACAGGACAGAGATTTCATGGAGAACGACTGAGGCCAGTTCTACCAAGAATCTATCATAAGATGGCCAGCGATCCAGCCGCGCATTCGGTTCTGAGCCTCCTGGCAGCTACGGCAAAAAGGGAAACGTGATGGGTTACAGAGCACTCGTTGTTTGACACTGATTTATTCAGTGCACGATTAAGTTCTTTCCATTCTTAGAGGAGTCCAGCCGCCTGGTGGACCAAAACCGAGCCTCACTTGCGTGACTGAGGTGCATTACAAGTCCCTTCTGTGTCTGGAGCGGAGGCCGTGGGAGTGGGGTGGGGGAGGGAGAGGATGGCGTGCGGCAGGCCGTCCATTTGGGAAGAGAGAGAGAACACCACAGGTTGGTGTCCTTCACTGGGCCCATCTCAGCGGGCGCTGTAAAGCCTGCAACCAGTGGAAGGTCCAGCAACTGTTTCCGCCGTCTGCTGTGGACCCGTTTGCCCAGTGAGGGGCTTGGGGGAGGGGCGGTCAGCAGGCCTCACGGAGGACTCCACGCTGCTGGCAGTGGTCCCTCTCAGCTGGCTCCTCTGAGTCTGCACACGCAGAGATTAGGCATGTTGCAAACCCAGCAATGAGATGCAAACCCAAGAGGAGGGGGCAGAATGCAACTCAGGAGGCAGCAGCTCTGTTTTCACCCTTGGCGGCGTGCCGGGGTCCTGGAATGCCCGGCAGCCAGCGTGGCCTGAGGACTGGGAATCTGTGCCCACTTGGTTTCCCTAGAGGCTGGCACCACGAGAATCTGACAGGTCTGCTGTCCAGGTCTGACAGCATCCTGTGTTGTTCCGTCCCATAACAAAGGGACAGGCCATTAGAGGGCTGGCCCCAGTCATGCGGTGACCTGGGCTGGGTCCCCCCCCCCCCCCGGCTCTGAGCTTCAGTTCTGGCTGTGCCATAAACTTTTTAGGTGACCTTGAGCAAGTTCCTGCCTTGCCCCGAGACTCAGTTTCCCTTTCTCGAGAAATAAAAGGTCCAACATGGTTCTTAACGGTAAATCACGGGGGCAGTGGGGGGAGAGCATGGAATTCTTAAGGGAGTTGTTGAATTAAATGCCCAGCAAGCACTGCCTATAGAGAGAATAAATGATACGCCTTGAACTTGCACGTGAGACAGATTTGTAAATGTATATACATACTTTTACGATGAACAAATGATAAGTTTATATTAAAATGTTACTGAATTCGGAGAAGCCGAATGTCACCATGTGTTTTATTCACCAACTGATTCCAGCACAGCCATTTACAAGCCATGTAACCTTGGAGAAATTAACCACTCCTACCTTCCTTTCCCTGTCCAACGGGACTGATGTCAGGACCCATCTCCTAGGGCCGTTTTACATAGCATAGTATCTGGCATACAACAAGCACTCTATAAATAATTAGTTCTTATTATCATTCATTTATTTAGTATTTTAAAGGTATAGCAGACATCAGGGGGGCACGTCGATGAAAAAATTTTTTGTCGTTAAAAAAGGGGGCTTTACAAGCAGTTACGACCCTTAAGAGAGAAACACGTTTAATAAGTCTATACTATAAAGATGCTCATCCCAGTAGAAAAATGGGAAATAGCATTAAAAAAGCAATTTGCAAAAGAAGGAAGACAAATGGCCGGTATGCTTTATGAAAAAGCCACAACACTTTAATACCCAAATAAATATAAATGAAAACAAACACCATTTTTCCTCTGTTAGGTTGGCGAACATTAAAAATCTCTATCCTATTCCAGGTTGGCGAGAGCGTGGGGGATATACCCTACACACCCTCCTGGTTGGAATATAAATTGGTATGACCTTTTTGGAGGGCAACTTGGCCACACATATCAAAAGACTTGAAATGAGAAAACCTTTGTAGGAGCAACCCCAA